CGAAGCTTCTCCAGAAGGTTCCAATTCTCATAGAAGTGAAATCCTAATATAGCATGACTCAAGAAAAAGAACTAGTGAAAGTGCAAAATGCCCCTTCCAAGCCGATTTGCGCCTAAAATTCGTATTGTCGTTAGTTGTTTCTGATTCATAGTCTTTATCTAAGGCGAATAACTTTTCTCCGATTTGTTGTTTGGCGTTTCATTTTTCACGAAGCTTTCTATTATTCTAATTCATTCATCCTTTCAGGAATGCCACCGGAAAAAGTTCCGGATCCTTTACGGCAAAAATTTCTCCCTTATGATGGAGGATATCAACTCGATTACTCAAAACATCTCGATTATCCAGACGGTTCTGACTGTGAAGTGAAATACTTGTTGAATTGCTCGGGTGAGTGCTATAAGTTCACGCTTGAGCTAGGGCCATCGTGAGAGTGGAAAATGATGCCACTACCGCACCCTTTTCCGAGATGTGTGCCGTAGCAACACCACATTAAAGGCAGATGGCACGATGGTTTCCTACTTAGCCTAAAATGCTAGTAGGGCGCTGTATAGGGGAAATGGCGAAAGAACGGAGTGAAACGGTCAAAATCCTGCGAAGAAAAAGCCTCCGTTCTCAGTGACTTGAAAATCGATTTCGGACGAGTTTCCCGTAGGCATCTTGCCAATCACCGCTACCGAAGATACGGCTGCATATGTGTACCCATGTATGCATGCAGCATCACGGCCGCTTCATACCAATCCCTTCGCTTCATAATTTGCTTAGCAAATGAATGAATACGAGCGTCAGGAACGGTCGTCCATTTGTGGGCGGGCGGGCGTTTTTGGGTCGGAATGTTGTGGCTTGATAGGGCCCTTATAAGGGCACCTTCCTCGGAAACCGCTATGCAGCGCCTGCCCAGGGTCGCGGAATTCTATCCTGCCAGGAGTATTGATCCTAGTCGTCTTGGGGGATTTATCGTGCCAACTGCCTTTAACCAACAAGCCGGCTCGGGAGGTAAGAGACCTTGTTGGTTCGGTGAAGGCTAAGTGTGCGAGGATGGCTCATTGTCATTGGACTCTAGGGTGCTGGTATAGCACAGATATGTGATACGCCATCTTCAACCCTCAAGGCTGCATTCGTTCTTTGCTACTGAAAAGGTTCAAACATTTGGGAGATTCGGCGATCTGAGAGATTACGTGACAGGAACAGTATGGGACCGATCTGGCGGCTGCGGAGATTGAGCGATCTGGAGATTTGACAGGCTCGGCGATCTCCCATAATGCTCTTTCGCCGCGTCTCTCTAATCGCTGGTTCGCTGAATTTCCCGAATCGCCACATTGCCAAGTTTCTGCAGTCGTTGGCGATCGACGCTGATCGGCGCTCATCCACCGCGCTTTGGCGCAAGGTCGTTGGAAACGTCATGTTTCCCAGTTTGAAGGAAGCGCTGAATCTCTTCAGTCGCGAAATATGAACGCATCCAAAAGGGTCTGTGCTACAGCTGCGTCAAAAATAGCGCTTGTATGCATCGTTGGTGAATTTACTAGTATCAAGCAGCTCACTTACCTCATTTTCTGGGGTATGAGGCGCACTCATGTATAGGACACAGCTTCGTCTAGAACGCCATGAAAGTTCTTCTGCTTCCTATTGAATAGGAAATGTTTGAGAGCCAACTAGATGATTAGTTAGCAAAAAAAAATGGCTAAAAAACGGCTAAAAATGCAGCTGGTATGTTTGGAAAACTCCGGGCGCATAGTTTCGCGCGTTTCTGCACCCGTATCTATGAAATACGGTTTAGATCCCAGAAAACAGAATGTCAAAAATGTTTCATGCTTGGACGTTGTTCATATGTCTATTCCATTAAACCTTGCTTATTTAGTTTGATCTAATGGGACGCGAAACTTCCTTCTTTCAGGTGAATTCACCCATTTTGTTGCATTATGGTATGAAAATAATTTATCTATTCGGCGAAATACTGAAACTGGTCTGGAGTCGCACTATCTTTTCAATAAGGAGTTGAATATCAAAGATATTGGCTACTTTCGTAATTCTGGTAATGCGTCTACTTGTGCTCGCATTTAAATGTGTAAATAAAATTGTAATGGTATTTTTGTTGCAGATGATGAGCTATGCCTTGTAGTGGGATTGAATAGCACAAATACCAATATTCATCCTCACTGTGTTGCCTTTCTTCGATGGGGTGGTGCAAAATTTCAGCTGTTGCAAAAAATTGTATTTGACGAAGAGGTGGGTATAGTCTACTTCGTTGCGGACGAAGGGGCGTGTCAAGCGAGATGTGTTTAGCGCGGTTCGAAACCCGTTCTGTACCAGTGATTGAATAGAGCAAGTGAAGACTATCATATCTTCAATATCACTCGTTTTCTACCAATGTTGACGCATACCCGCTCCAACAATTGGGAGAGAACGAGTTTGGCGCCGTGGCACACTCATACTGGCCTGGCACGCCTCTTCATCCACAACGAACTAGTATATTTCTCATTTTTTCAGATATGCTGTCTCAAAGTTATAGCTGATGAGCAAAATATGAGTAATCTGACTTCAATGTTGCATCACAGAATGGCTATATGGCCCCATATCGTAGCTGTTGGTGAGGATTAAACCTTTTCTAGTAATTCATTCCATTTGAAGGGTTTATACTAGGACGAATTATTGCAGGTTGTCGTTCCGCTCGATGCTATCTGTTCAGTTTCCCTCTCAATGAACGTGATAAGGGCCGTGATCCATGTGTACCGCTCAAAATTAAGCTGACTGATGGACTAAGTTAGTTTGGTTATTTTCGTAAAGCAACACAAGGCTGATAAGCTGGCTAAGGGGCTTTTAGAGGTCTCGTATTGCAAAAAAAAAACATAAAGAGTGAAGGGACTGACGTCATTCTGATGGAAGTGATGCTCTTCAAAGTGGTACCCACTCCAGAGCTCCTTCTTCTAACCAGGAAAGGTCAACAGGTCAGCCTGGCCATTTCCAATGAGCTGCACACCGTTGTACGCGTCTTGGGACAGTGAACTCAAATCTACCTTCAGAATTTGCGGAACGATTCTCTGAACGGAGTTATGGAGGGTTTATCCCCGCGTGGTCGTTTCACATGCTATCGCGAGGAAACGTGGAAGCGTCTTTACATTTATGTATGGAGTCATGCTGAAACGTGGTAGTAGAGCGCAACGGTAGGGAGCGGGTTTCTTAGGAAGAGTATCGTGCTAGGAGTCGTTCCGGAGCAGATCGCTTATTTTCATTTGTCAAGGACATAAAGCGACAAAGCTTCATAACATCTTCTGCCGCCTGCACTATCTTATGAGGAACTGCGATTCAGTTTTTTTTTTTTCGGAAAGTATAGCCATTGTTGGCTGAAATTGGTTTGCTTGTACACCTCGTAACACGTGTCATAAGGGTTTTTGCAATATAAAACCATGATATTCGTGTTCAGCGGGTCAAATTATCCCTGGAGACAGTTTCTAGCCGAATCTGATATTTCGACCTCACTTGGAAAATGTGGGCTATTCCATGGGTAATTAGCAGCAGATTGGAGCTCACCTACCATCGATGACTGGTCTTGAATGGACTATCTTTCCGATTGTCAGAAATTGATTGCAGACGACACAAATCAAAGTAGCCAGAGATGCTTCTTTTCCTGCCAAACAAAAAGACATAGACTGAAGAAGTTATTTCAGTTCGAAGACCAGTCATCACCAGTATGCTAGTCGTAGTATCGCTGTTGGCTATCAGTCAGCCATGACTATCCATACCCCATTTTTTCGAAGTTGAGTCAGAACCTCAGATTTCGCTAAGGTGACGTCCCTAGGGGTTATTTGACCCCCTGAACACGAATATGATACCTGTTTTGCGCGAAGAGCGCTGTGAGTCGCGCTACATGTGCCAACGCTTCGGCGCCAGCGCGCCCGTAAGAAGAAAAACAGTAAAGAAAAACCTCCTAACTCCGCTCAGAGAATCGTTCCGCAAATTTTGAAGATAGTTTTGAGTTCACGTCTCAAGACGGGTACAACGATGTGCATCTCATTGCAAATGGCCAGGCTGACCTGTTGACCTTTCCTGGTAAGGGATCAGGCAGTCAAGTGATCTCGCTCGCCTTTGTTTTTTTTTCACCATTTCGTCGTCTGGTTCTCTTATGCACGCTCAGTGTTTCTTCGCTATATGCAGTACCTAAAATCCATGCGGGTCTTATTCAAGGGATGTTCACTGGATGTGTAGACACAGTCGTTGGACAAGTTAGTCCTTCAGCCTACACAAAGGCTGTACTGCTTGTGCGGCTCGAACTTACATGATAACAGTACTACCTGCTCATGACGAAGGCAATGCCCCGCCTACCATGGCTCACTATCTGCAATCGCAGACGTGTCTTTGATCATTACACCAGTCAGATGCTCTATGATTTGTCAGGCTGTGCTAGGTAGTGTCAGGGAATATTATTGAGTCAAGGGGTTGCGATGGTGAAAGGAAATTGTGTGAAGGTTTCACCAAGTTTAGGTTAAGCACTACTAATCCCCACAGTTTTTACTTACCCGCTTCAACAACTGGTGGCGCGCCAAACTCGGCCTCACTGACACGCCCCATCATCCTCAGCGAGCAACACTCTAGTAACAGCGACCACTGAGCTATGATTATTCGACAAGTAATCATGGCCTATTCTCTTTCAGTGACCTGCTCAGAATCCATTTCATTTTTCAGGGCCCTTTCGGGATGGTGACGAATTTGTCTACAGCTCTCCTAGTCTGGAGACAGGATACACTGAGTCAAAACGGCTAAACGTCGGTACGGTTTGTAGAAACATTTGACGACACAGTTCAGCGGCTGGAGGGGGGGGGGGCATTTTGCACTCTTGCACATGTTAGCTTCAACTGAAGACCTGTGAAATCTTGTGAAGGTACTGGTCGAAATTCGTAGAAACAACTTGTGAACTCTTGTAAAGCAATGTCGACGAGCTTACTTTAGCTCCACAAGAGTTCACAGATCTTACCAGAGTGAGACTTGTAAATCGGTACAAGTTAAGCAGCGGAAGTGCAATATTCCCCCTCCTCCTTCGCCAAACTTCTCCTCTTTTTACTTCTTCATTTCGTATGTTAGCAATGCGATCTTTCTAAGAGCTGGTTTCTGTGACATGCATCAGCTTCCTCGAGAAATGTCGTGTTGTACTGGTTGGCTTCTCGTTTGGTGGATGTATGTCCATATCATTGACAAAAAATCCCAATATGTAAGTGTTTAAGACCTCCTGTCAAGTACATGTCCGCCTTAGAAGTCGCTGTTTGGCTGTGTAAGAGTGCGTTTATACTTTGCCTCGACGTTTTGAGCTTACGGCTGCGCTTTAATTGACCAGAAAAGTACAGACATCGATGAGTGTTTTGAGCGTTTTGCGGGCAGTTTTGAGCTTTTCGCTGGCATTCGTGGAAAACACGGAGTACACTCAGAACCTATACTTTCCTAGTCGCTCAAAACCTGAGAGTATGAACGCTGCCCAAAATTATTTGTACTTGTTTTATTCTGAATGGTATTTTTAGCGAACCATTGATGTATCCGTGCAGCGCACCTGTACAGTTCATAGCCCCACTGGAACCTGATGATGATCCACGCGGCCATTTGTGGTTCTTTGTTGCATACAGGTAAACCTTGTAGTAATTGATCACTTTTGCCATGCTTTTTGTGTGTAATTGAAATTTCTATGCTTTGCAATTCAGTTCGACGAAGGCTAAACCGCTGCAACTGTGTTTGTATGAGGTTCAATTTCCTGAGGAGGAGACACAACCGTTGGCGGAACGCACCTGGGTACATGGACGGTATTCAATCAAGCTGGTGGTTCGTTCATAAGGCTTTTTCAGAACTTGTGTATTGACCAGAAATTTGACTGGAGCTTGAATTTTCGAGATTTTTCGAGGCAAAAGTTGTTTTGTAAATGGGACAGTTGGCCATGACTTTATACGGCTTAAAGAGTGTGGATTCTGTAGATTCGCTATTATACCTGAATGTGATATAGGGAAAGGCTCAGAAGCTTTTTACTGGTCACTTTTGAGCGCTGGTTTACTAGAGTGCTGGGCATTTTGAAAGCTTCTGTCAACAAACGGGTAATTTTATAAACTCCTGCACAGCCACAAGATGGAGTAACTTTAGTTTTGCATACTGACAGCAGGTCATGTTTATACTTGCCGACTTGGAGGGAAAGGAGCATTTATGATGAGAGGTTATCGAAGAATACGCGCCAAGAGAAGCCCAGTCTCCTTATTTGTCTTGCTGCACCTCTTCTTATAATATTCGAATGAAAAATTTCTTTCTAGATTCCATTTCATAACACCACTCGTTGGATATCTTTGCAAACATTAGTCCGTGAGCGGAGTGAATTTAGAAGTCTCGAAGATTCTTCAAGGGACAGCACAAGACTGGGTACTTTTCACCTAAAGTTATGTGATATGCATCCATTTTCTGACTTTTAATTTTTCTTAACTTTAGGTTCTGACAAGGATCGATCTGTCGTGTTCTTCTCCTACATTGCCAATGATCGAAGTGGTGGCAGTCTGAAGGTGCGTATTTCGTTTTAGTCTAGATTTCTTGTACTAAAGGCAAAGGGCACGATTACTGGAGGCGGGCGGTTGTTGACGTTGTAATTGGTGGAGTTGAGGGCGTTCAAGAAGGCGTTTGAGCATAGCCCACTCATATTGATATTGTTGGCGACAACCGCCCGCCCCTGGGTGTCGGGCCTTTGCCTTCAAATCTCAGGTGTTGCTGTAGTTGAGGGGGCTGCGCGACGGCGTGATCCTTGCTCTCTCTAGGCTGAGCCTTAGAAGAGCACAGACGATCAGAATATGTGCGCTCGCTCGTTTCTAGGGGCAGAGCAGCGAACTAAGCATTACTCCGCTCAACTGCAGAGGGGGCAGGTTTTTCTGGTCGTCTGAAAATGCTGACTGGTTTGTCTTGTCTGAATGTTTTTCGATTCAGGGCGGTCTTTTCGATCTGAATGCATATTTCTACAAACGCTTGATACATGCAATTACACACGATGGGACCATTGCTCAACAGTGCGCGTTCATGTCGACGGTTCAACCTATTCCAATGCATTACAAGGAGGAGAACTTTTCACTATTGAAGGTATTTTTTATTGTGCTGGACGTCATATGGTCGTCCCTTTAATGAGCGATTTTAGGATATTGTGGTCGATGCAAACTTGATAACGCGTTTCATCTCGAATGTGAGCGATGCTGAGCAGATGTTCTACCCATCAGCACTTGAGGTATGCAGTGGAATGTTTTTAATAATAGAGTCCGTATGCATTGTAAAATAGGAGAATCGGAATAATCGGAGAATCCTTGAAAATGAAAATAGCCTATCGATTTGAGAATGTTAGAATCTGTGGTTATGGATTCGATACATGTCGATTAGCTCCGCCCAACTGACAGATTTGGGAATCGAATATCAATCGATATGTGTCTTCTAGTACTCTTGTCCTTCATATCGATATTCCCGATTTAGCCACATCGCATGACAGTGAGGCGGTGTTACGTATCCCATAACCATTCCGTTCTGTTATGCCACGTCTCTACCTCCCTTCCTTCTGGACATCGCTGCCCCTGCAGCCGCCTCCTCTTATCTCTCCCCCCTCCCCCGCCCACTATGATCTATGAAATGTGTCTCGTCGTGATTTTTCGAAATATCTTTTTATCGGGTACCTAAATGAAAACCTTCTCAGATTAGCGTTGTGCATGTCGCTGGCTCAATTAAGTGCTTTCAATTATCGCTACCTAGTCTCCCAAATCAGGTCAGCTAATTTACATTGAATTTCTAATGCAGCTCAGGTTTATAACGAGTTTACAGTTTTGCACAAAAAAAGTTCCGGACGCAGTTCGACCTTAGTGGGGGGGAAGTGGTCACCCGTTTTAGCTCTCGTAAATGGGTACGGGTTCGCCATTTTTGGGTTGTGGCCTCACTTTCTCCATCTTCCCAAGCGTTCGCAAGGTTCACCAAGCTAAAACTTGTAAAACCGGAATAGTGAATCAATCAAAATGTGCAGAACGCATTTCCCCCTCCTCATCGCGTCGTCGTCGAACTGGACGGCCAAGATTCGCTCCGTAATCCTGCGAGTGCCCGATTGGTTGGATCTATTTCTCCCAGAAAATGCGGAATTCCGTTTCCTCGAGAAAAACAGTTCACCCACCCCGAGAGAACCGTTACTTCGTGAGCTATTGAACCGTGAACCTATGCTCAACCCGCGCCCTAGATTGCTTTTGATTGCCGCAAGTTTTTATTCCAGTTGTTATCGACTATCTGCGCCGACCTTGAAATGCATATCGCTGACCCTACTTCTGCATCGGCATGGTTATCTGCTTTAGGTTTCTACAAGAATTCTCCTCGCACTGAATCTTACGATGATAGCGTTAGTTTTGTTTCTCTTGGGCTGTGTTCATACTTTGCGTCGGCGCTTTGAGCGTACACCAGCGTTTTCAGCAGCCACCCGCGAGAAGTTCAAAATTGCCCGGACACGCTCGAAGCGCTGGCATACGTTCAGAAACGCTAATGCAAACTATGAACGCAGTCTTAGGTAGTAAAGAGCACTTAGTTGTTGACTTATTTCAGCATGCCAATTTGTATTCGGTACTAAGCACACTCATAAGTCATCAGCGAGCAGGAGCGATTGTGCATTACATCAGACATTCTGATTCCACTGAGTCACGTCATCTGATCGCTGCATGGATTTGGCAGGAGATTGACAAAGCTAGCAGGAAATTACATGAGACAAGTCAGTGAATAGTCTTGATCGCTACGGATGAAGCACATATCGGGCGGAGAGGGTTTAGCGACGCGCTAGACCTGCTTCTACCAGCTGTTGAAGCGAGCAAGCGACAAAACTATCATATCGTCAGTATCAGTCGTTTTCCACCAGTTGTTATCGCTTGCCCGCCACAGCAACTGATGGGTAACAAGTTTGGCGCGCCTATCATCCCGCCTGACACGCCCTTTTCCCGCGGCGAACAATGCTGTAATTGTACCGTATCTACAAACACGAGTTGCCTTTTTTCAGCTGAACCTTTGTTCGCAAGGTTCTCTGGTCCTTTAAATCCTGCCGGTCAGAAAGCCCTGGCTCATGTTCATGATGTGTTCGTTGCTGGAGTGCACATTCTGCGCGAACTGGTTAACGTTGAGGAACGTGAGCAGGATGAAACAAGTAAGTTACAGCGGGGCATTTTTGAAGGCAGTGGATACGATTGCTGGAGGCCCCGGTTGTCGCCAGCGTCATTGGTGGAAGGATGCGAGAGGTCGTCTTGCCGAACCCCGCCCAACCTCCACCAGTGACGCTGGCAAAAACGGCCCTTCCCCAGCGATCGTACCCACTGCCTCTAACTTACTGTATGGTAGTACTGTCCATGACGGCTTTCAGAGGAATACCTAACAACACTGGAGGCTCGTCGTTTTGCAACGGAAAGTCTACGATCTTATTCCACGGTCATTCACCGGCTGATGACTGCACGGATTCTTCCTGTCGCCGAGGATAGAGAGATCCGCTTAGCGATGGGAAAAGTGTTAAGTGAGCGCAGAGCAAAAACTTCAGGGTGAGTTTGGGAATTGGCGCAGCTTGGCGATAGGGAAGGGGTTGGGGGTGTTTCCGCGATATTCGCTCC